GGGCACCTGGGTGGCTCAGTGGGTTAAAGCCTCTGCCTTCGGCTCAGGTCATGATCCCAGGGTCCTGGGATCGAGCCCCGCATCAGGCACTCTGCTCAGCAGGGAGCCTGCTTCCCTCCTCTCTCTCTCTGCCTGCCTCTCTGCCTGTTTGTGCTGTCAAATAAATAAACCTTTAAAAAAAAAAAAAAAAGAATATGGACGGTTTACTAGGAAAACAAAGTCTTATCCTGGCCTTTATGTCAGCAGTGTTCACAAAAAACACTATAAGGATCTCTTTGGTTACATTCCTGAAGGAGCACATGGAATTTTCAATTCCCACAATATGGAAAAAGCTGGCTAGAAATAAACATCATCTCTCATAGTGTTTCCAAAACTTCCTTAAAGAATAACATGGAACACCTGTAAAAAAAATTCCTGGGCCTGAGACTTAATAAATCATAATTTTCGGGGAAGAAAAAGGTTTTATTCCTCTATAACAACAATTTATATGAATTAATCATTAACACATAATGAATTATGTGTTAATCTATGTAGTTAACAAATAACTTCAGGTGATTCTTAACATTTAAGTTTGGAAAAAGAGCTATACCGCCTCAAGGTGGGTTCTGGCATTCTTTTATAGTATTTAAAAGAAGTTTCAAAAGAGATGGTGACACTGGGGCACCTGGGTGGCTCAGCTGGTTGAACATCTGGCTCTTGATTTCAGCTCAGGTGATGATCTCATGGGTTGTGGGTACGAGCCCCATGTCAGGCTCCGTGCTCAGCAGGGAGTCTGCTTCAGATTCTTTCTCTCCCGTTCCCTCTGCCCCTCCCACCATGGTCTCCCTATAATAAATAAAACTTATAAAAAGAAAAGGTGGTGACACTGTAGCTAGCAATTACGGCCACAGTTCTTTAACTTTAGCTATCATCTGCATCACTGGATAGCTTGATAAAACATTGCTGGACTGTATCCTGAGTCTCTACAGTTTCTGATTCAATAGATCTGGAAAGGAGTCAGAGGATTTGTACTTCAAACAAGTTCCTAGGTGATGCTAAATACACCTGTATTGAGAACTGTGTTCTGAGAAGCCATGAACTATAGTATAACCTGGATTAGGTTGGGGTGGTCAATATTATTCAAAAGCTAAAACTAATGAGGGTTGTTCTGTTGTGAGGGGAAGTTAGCTATTACCTTAAGGAGTTTGGTAACTTTCTCAAAACTATAAATGCAATATAATAAACAAATTCAATTATAAGAAATGCTCTTGATAGGCAGAAATGCTAAAATTAATGACATTTCTCTTTAAACCTATTTTTGCTGGGGGCACCTGGGTGGCTCAGTGGGTTGGGGCCTCTGCCTTCGGCTAGGGTCATGATCCCAGTGTACTGGATGGAGCCCTGCCTCGGGCTCTCTGCTCGGTGGGGAGCCTGCTTCCTCCTCTCTCTCTCTTTCTTTGCCTACTTGTGATCTCTGTCAGGTAAATAAATAAAATCTTAAAAAAAAAAAAACACACTATTTTTCCTGTAGTTGACAAAACAGCCATAAACATGGCCCCACTTAATAAATACTCCTTCATTCATTAATGCTGTTTGCCCTTTTCTAGGGCTTAGGGATACAGTAAGTGAGCAAAACAAAGCCCTGTCCTTCAGAGGCAACATTCTACTATCTCATTTATCCTATCTGAACACTCATTTAGGTTAGTGGGCAAAACTTTAATGACTTTATAAAAAAAAAAAACTCCACTATTAAAACAGTGTACGTAAAAATTAAAAGTGTGATTTAAAAAAAAAAAAAAAGATTTTATTTATTTGACAGAGAGAGACACAGAGAGAGAGGGAACACAAGAGGAGGAGTGGGAGAGGGAGAAGCAGCTTCCCGCTGAGCAGAGAACCCGATGAGGGGCTCGATCCCAGGACCCTGGGATCATGACCTGAGCCGAAGGCAAACGCTTAACGACTGAGCCACTCAGGTGCCCCAAAAAGTGTGATTTCTGTACAAGAACAAAAATAACTTTGGGAGGGAAGATACAGTTTAGTATACTCATCTTTATTTATTTATTTTTTAAAGATTTTATGTATTTATTTGAGAGAGAGAGCCAGAGAGTACATGCAAGGGGAGTGGCAGAGGGAAGGGAGAAGCAGGCTCCCTGCTGAGCAGAGAGCCTGATGTGGGGCTCTATCCCAGGACCCTGGGATCACGACCTGAACTGAAGGCAGAGGCTTAACTGACTGAGCCACCCAGGTGCCCCAGTATACTCATCTTTAGAAACCTAAAATCAGGTTCAAGAGAGGAATTCTTTTTTCCTCACAGATCCTGTAAGCAGACGCAAAGAGCTGCAATTATTGTTCCAACTGATATTTTTGCCTCAATGGTATACATTCAATAGCTCAGATTCCTCAAATAGTAAACTGGGGCAGATAATTTGGTTATAATTCTAAAACTAAAAAAGAAAATTCTCAACTTAGGCAAGCTCCAACTTGGGTCTGACATCTCAACATGCAATTAAATTATATTTAATCACTAGGTTTTGGTAAAATGTGTGGTAGGGGCCAAATTATCACATTTTACCCTAGACAAGGGAAAATACATTAAACAATTTTGGGGGTTTATTTGAAAGATTAGGGGACAGAGAAAATTATATATTCTTTACCAGCTTTACTGAGGTATTCTGTATGCCATCAAATCGATCTGCTTTAAGTCTACAACTGAATGACTATTTAAAAGTTTTTTTTTTAAGATTTTATTTATTTATTTATATTATTATTTTTTTTTAAAGTTTTTTTTTCTAATTTATTTGACAGACAGATCACAAGTAGGTAGAGAGGCAGGCAGAGAGAGACAGGAGGAGGAGGCAGCCTCCCTGCTGAGCCGAGAGCCCGATGCAGGACTCGATCCCAGGACCCTGAGATCATGACCTGAGCTGAAGGCAGAGGTTTTAACCACTGAGCCACCCAGGTGCCCCAAGATTTTATTTATTTATCAGAGAGAGAGAGAGAGAGAGAGTAGACAGCAGGGGTAGTGGCTGGCAGAGGGAGAAGCAGCCTCCATGCTGAGCAAGGAGCCCAGTGTGGGATTCAGTCCCAGGATGCTGGAATCATGACCTGAGCTGAATGAAGACAGGTGCTTAACTGACTGAGCCACCTAGGCATCCCTGAATGACTTTTTGTAATAAAATCTGCAGAGTTGTACAATCTTCATCACAATCCAATTTTTTCCAAGATTTTATTTATTTATTTGACAGACAGAAAGCACAAGTAGGCAGAGAAGCAGACAGAGAGGAGGAAGCAGGCTCCCTGCTGAGCAGAGAGCCCGATGTAGGGCTCGATCCCTGAACCCTGAGATCATGATCTGAGCCGAAGGCAGAGGCTTTAACCCACTGGGCCACCCAGGCACCCCTCACAATCCAATTTTAAAACATTTCCATCATCCCCAAAAGATCTCTCAAGTCTATCTGTAGTTATTCCTACTTCCCGCTCCAGGCAACCACTGATCCATTGCTCTACAGATTTTCTCCTTCTGGGAATTTCTTATAAATGAAATCATAACATATACGGTCTTGTGTGTCTTGGTTCTACTTAGTATGTCTTCTGAGGTTCATCTATGGTATGACATGCATGGGTACATCATTCCATTTCACTGTTTAATGGTACTCCACTGTATGCATAAATCAGATTTTGTTTATTCATCCATCAGTTGATGTACAACTGGGTTATTTCCAGTTTGGGGCTATTATAACAATATTATAACATCTACAAACAAGTCTCTATGTGGGCAGGTTTTCTTATCTCTTAGGCACATAACCAGAGTGAAACTGCTCTGTTATGTGGTAATTTTATAGTTAACTACCATACTGTTTTCCATAGTGGCTTCACCATTTTACATTCTTACTAGCAATGTATTAGGGTTCCAGTTTCTCTATATCCTAATACTTGTTACTGCCTATTTTGTTACAGCCATCCTAATGGTGGTATCTCACTGTGGTTTTGTTTTTCTCCTTGACTAATGATGTTGAACATCTTTTCATGTGCTACTAGGCCATTTATCTTCTTTGGAGAAACAGCTGTACAATCCTTTGTTCATTTTTTAATTGGGTTGTCTCTCTATTGCTGGATTAAGAGGACTTTGTAACTCTGGATACTAAGCCCTTCAGAAATACGATTTGCAAATATTTTCTCACATCCTTTGGGTTGTCTTTTCACTTTCTTAATAATGTCCTTTGAAGCATAGAACTTCTAAATTTTGATGAAATGAAAACTATTGTCAGTGTGTTCTTCCATGGATGCTTTTTGGTGTTGTATCTAAGAAAACTGCCTACCTCAATCTCAACAAATATTTCCTCCTGCCCTTTTTTTTCCCTGTAAGTTTTATAGTTTTATTTTTACATTTACGACCATGATCTTTAAAATAATAATAAATATACGTGACATACAATTGACCATTTTAACCTTTTTAAAAATGTATAGTCCGGAAGCAGTTAAGTACATTCTCATGCTGTGCAACCATTGCCATCATCCACGTCCACAACTTTTTATCATCCGAAACAGAAACTCTGTATCCCCCAAATAATAACTCCCAAGTCTCCTCATTCCCTGCCCCTGAGGATCACTGTTCTACTCTCCACCTTTATGAACTGACCACTTAAGTACCTTGACTAAGAAGAATCATTACAATTTTTGTCCTTTTGTAACTGGCTTATTTCGCTGAACTTGTTTTTAAGATTCATCCGTGTTGTAGCATATGAGAGAATTTCCTTCCTTTTAAAGACCGAGTAATACTCCATTATATATATATATATTTTTTAAATTTTATTTTTTAAAAGATTTTATTTATCTATTTTACAGACAGAGATCCCAGGTAGGCAGAGAGGCAGGCAGAGAGAGAGGAAGAAGCAGGCTCCCCACTGAGCAGAGAGCCCGATGCGGGGCTCGATCCCAGGACCCTGAGATCATGACCTGAGCTGAAGGCAGAGGCTTTATTTAACCCACTGAGCCACCCAGGCGCCCCTCCGTTTTATATTTTTATGACATTTTGTTTATCCATTCATCTAATGATGAATAAGCCGGGTGTTTCCACCTTTTGACTATTGTAACTAGTGCTGCCAGGAAACTGGTGTACAAGTATCTGAGTCCCCATATCAATTCTTTGTATACTTAAAAGTGGAATTGTTGAACTATACTATAATTCTAGGTTTAATTTTTTGAGGATTCACCACACTATTACCCATTTTTGTTAACTCTATGTATAGCATAAGGGTTTAAATTTATCTTTTTACATGCTGCTATCCAGCTACATTAGCACCATTTATTGAAAGACAAAGACTGAGGAACCATCAAATTGCCTTGACATCTTTGTAAAAAATCAAGTGACTATAAATGAAAGAGCTCATGTCTCAATTCTCAATTCTGTTCCACTAATCCACATGTCTGTCCCATTCCAGCACCACAGTGTCTTAATTATTGTTGCTTTAAGTGAGTTTTAAGATGAAGAAGACCAAGACCTCCAATTTTGTTCTCCCTGCTACCCCAGCATGTTTTGGCTATTCTGGGTCCTAGACATTTCTAAAGAAATTTTATAATCAGATTGTTGGTTTCTGCCTAAATGCTTCCTGAAATTACAGTAGGGATTGTGCTGAATATCTTTATCAGTTTGAGGTAAAATTATGACTTTAATAATACTGTGTCTTCCAATCCATGAGTATGGAGTGTTTCTCTAATTATGTAGATCTTCAGTTTCTTTCAGCAATGTTTTGTAGTCTTCTGTTAAATTTATTCCTATTTTGATTTTTGATCATTTGGAGAGGGAATTCAGTGCTACTGCGAATGACGAAATTGTTTTAATTTTTAAATTGTTCATTGCTTCTATATGGAAACAATGGATTTCTGCATACAACCTTGCTGAAATAATGTAGTTCTAGTAGTTTTGTGTGTATGTGGATTCCTTAGGATTTTCTACATAAAGGATCATTTCATCAGTGAATAAAGATAGTTCTACATAATCCATTCCAATCTGGATGCCTTTTATTTCATTTTCCTAGCTGACTGCATTGACTAGACCTCCAGTACATTCAGTTTATTTTCCACCTTCAGTGGAATGTAAATGGTGAGAGTGGACATCCTTGTTTCCAATCTTAAGGAGAATGCATTCAGACTTCCACCATTACGTACAGTACCTATATGTTTTTTGAACTGACATAATGGTCCCCAACCGTTATGGTTAAATTGCTTATTTTGCCTTCCAATTATGTCAGTTTTTGTTTCACATATTTGGGGCCTGTTATTAAGGTATGGGTATGTTTATAATTGTTCTATTTTCCCAATGAACTGACTTTTTAATTATAAAATGGTCCTCTTTGTCTCTAGTATTTATTTTTTTGTCTTAAAGCCTATGCTGTCTGTACAGCCAATTCTCTTATGGTTATTGTTTGGATGCAATATCTTTTCCCATCCTTTTTCATTCAACCTATTTGTGTCTCTGAATCTATAGTGTTTCTCTAGAAAACAGCACATAGCTGGGTGTAGATTTTTATCCAGTGTGACAATAACTCATAGATTTAAGAAGAGTGCTTTTTTCTAAGGAAGGTCATTCTTCTGATCTACACATACAACTTTGGGATATAACTGAGATATAGACCAGTAAGAAAAGAAAAACTCTTCAGACATACTAACCCTGGCAATCACTACAGTGACAGGTGGTGCCAGATTTCTCTCACCTGGGGTGCCTGGGTGGCTCGGTTAAGTGTCTGCCTTTGATCAGGTCATGATCCCAGGGTCCTGGGATCAAGCCCTGCATCTTGCTCCCTGCTCAGTGGAGAGTGTGCTTCTCCCTCCCCCAGCTCATGCTCTCTCGCTCTCAAATAAAATAAAAAAAAAAAAAAAAAAAAAAAAAAGATTTCTCTCATCTAATTCAGTAACCTACCTCTCAGCCACTGCTAGCAGCCGTTCTGGCCTGAAGGTACCCTCAGTGTCAATGTACATGGCCTTTCCTTCTCCTCCACCTCGGTCAATGGGAAGCTGGACAGAACAAAAAGAACAGTGTACAAATGAACACTGTACTTCTAATATAACTGATCAACTTCCCCACCCACCCCCAATAAAGCAAAGGGAAAAAAAATTTAAAGAGTCAATCAGGAGTAGATAGGAGGCGTTCCCTTCTTCATTAAGATTTTTTTTATATTTGAGATAGAGAGAGAAAGATCACAAGTAGGTAGAGAAGCAGGCAGAGAGAGGGGGAGAAGCAGGCTCCCCACTGAGCAGAGAGCCCGATGTGGGGCTTGATCCCAGGACCCTGAGATCATGACCTGAGCCGAAGGCAGAGGCCTAACCCTGAGCCACCCAGGCACCCCAGGAGGCGTTCCTTTCTGATTAGAAATACAGCTTGTAGTAGATATGAAACTCCTGGTGTTCCACAGCATGCAATTCCAGACTCTTACCAGAGCTGGACTGCTTGGAAATACAGTCCAAACTAAGTGATAAAATTCTATGACTGAATACCAACACAGGATTGAACAATTCTTTCAAGAGTACAGATCTTTGAAAGTTCATTTACTACCTTAGCTTTAATAAGTTAGAGACAATGATCCAATACCCAATTAATTTTGTCACATTCAAGCCACACTTACACTTCACTCTATTAAGCAGATTTTGCTTCCGTAGGTTCCTAACAGGGTTTGGCCATGCCCCAGGGACATTCTTAGTAAGTTTAAAGTATGGCTGAGAGAGAAGGAAAAAAAGGGTGTTTATTCCAATAGTACCTACAGATGTCAAAAGTAAACAAAAGGAGGAAAAGGAAAATATAGTTAAAAAAAAAAGAAAAAGAAAAGGGAGGAATGCCATCAAAATTATCTTATGAGCTACTTAGGGAAATCTTGGTTTTTAGGCTACCCATCCCATGTCAGACAATTTTAAGTTCTACAAATTTTATGTGAATGATGCTAAAGGGTAGTTTCCACCCTAGCAATCTACTTTGGAGTCATAATTCACCTTTAAATTCGGAGGAAAATCCTTTAGGACATTTTATACTAAGGGCCAAGAAACAACAAATTTTCTTTCTTTCTTTTTTTTTTTTAAAGATTTATTTATTTATTTGACAGAGATGACAAATAGGCAGAGAGGCTGGCAGAGAGAGGAGGAAGCAGGCTCTTTTCCAGCTACAAAGACCTCTATGGGTGAAGGGAGACCGTAGGTGACTGGGTATAGGTATGAAGACTGACAGAAAAGTGGACAAGGTCCCAGTGTGTTACTGAGCCAACTTCAAGTTGGTGGACTGCATACTCTGCATTCCAGCCCATTCTGTCTCCTCCATCTTGCCCTCTAGTGCCACTGCAGTCATCTCATATTATTGGTCTGGGACACCACACCCAAGTTAGCTTTTTTTTTTTTTTTTTAAGATTTTGTATTTATTTGTTTGGCAAACAGAGATCACAAGTAGGCAGACAGACAGGCAGAGAGAGGGGGGGAAGCAGGCTCCCCGCCGAATAGAGAGCCTGATGTGGGGCTCGATCCCAGGACCCTAGGATCATGAACCGAGCCGAAGGCAGAGGCTCAACTCACTGAGCCACCCAGGTGCCCCAAGTTAGCTATTTTTAATAACTGCTTAGTACCATAATTTAACTTTTCTTCCTATTTTACAGTGATGTACGTTGTTTTGAACTTTCACCATTTTATAATGCTATTGTGTAAATTCTTTGTACATTTATCCTTGACTATCTGTGAACAATTGTGTAAGCCACATTTTCTGTCAAAGGGTATATGCATTTACAACTGGAATTCATGATAAAATGTCTTCTCAGAATTTTAAAATTAGTCTAGTACTTTAAAGAAACATAGCCTGTTTGTTTCTGTGATCTAACTGTGGCTCTCAACTTTATGTAACTTATTATTAGACAGAGATCTAATGTAATAGAGTTTTACTTCATTAAGTTAAGAAAATCTGAATAAATGAGAGCAGATTATGTTTAGATTTAAGCAGTAATCTAACATCCTTTCTACACTTCTGGTTCTAGCTCTTAGGCTGGTGAAATGTAATCCTTTCTGTTATTAATGAATTAGCATCCTCTCTCTCTTTTTAAAAAGATTTTATTCATTTGAGACTGAGAGAGGCAGAGAAAGCATAAGCAGGGGGAGAGGAAGAAGGAAAGGGAGGAGCAGACTCCCCACTGAGCTGGGAGCCTGATATGGGACTCTTGGTACCCAATCCCAGGACCTGGATATCATGACCTGAGTCAAAGGCAGGCGCTTAACCATCTGAGCCGCCCAGGTGCCTCTTCTCTTTTTTCTTTTGGTGGTCTGGGGGGATAGCGGGAGAGAGAGAGTCTCAAGCAGGCTTCACATCCAGCACGGGGCTTGATCTCATGACCCCGACATCATGATCTGAGCTGAAATCAAGAGTTGGAAGCTTAACCAACTGAGCCACCCAGGCATCCCCTATATCTATTATTTCAGTAAAGCATGATTTTAGGAATTAATTCACTGTGTTGGTTTCCAAATCCTCCCATGAATGAGACTACAAATAAAAAAAAGTTTTGGAAGAGATACTTAATAAAGGTAAGGCATAAAATAGAGGAGGAGCAGAGTCCCTGAGAAAGTGGCCAAAATGGTAACCAGATCACACTGATAGGATGGGGTTTTGAAAAGAGACACTTTTCTGTTATAGTCCAAGATATGAAAAAATGGGTATAAATGTAGGTGGATTCATAAGTTTGATGTGAAGAATAGGTTGGTCACTGGCTGAGTGAGGGTTGAAGAGGAACATGAAGGTATGAGAGGAAAGAACAAAGCGTGAGAATTGTCTTACTGAATGGGAAAAAGAATGCCTAAACAAATTTAGTAGGTCTTCCAAGCAGTATGAATGTTAGTCTAATGTCTGTCATTTTGAAATTAAAGTGAAGATAATCAGCTTTATAGTATGATTTTTCTCCAGTATGATTCAGTTATTAAGGAACAGGGACTAAGGAGACAGTTCTCATGGGGCACCTGGGTAGCTCAGTTGGTTAAGTGTCTGCCTTCAGCTCAGGTCATGATCCCGGAGTCCTTGGATCCAGTCTGGCATTGGCCTCCATGCTCAGGAGGGAGTCTGTTTCTCCCCTCCACACATGCTCTTTTGCTCCCTTTTTCTCTCTCTCAAATAAATAAATAAAATCTTAAAAAAAAAAAAAAAGTTCTCAGAGAAGATTCTAAGAAGGGTTCATCTAAGACTGACATCTCTTTATGTGGGGAATATGTATCTGAGGAATGACTTTAATGGTGAATCATAAGATCTAGAGTAGTGAAGAGGGCAGGTAAAGCCAGGGGAGGCATAGTGGAGGATAAGAAAACATCTGAAACAATGATGAAATCATCTGAAAACTATGATGTGAAAGTTTCTAGGACATGGAAGAGTTATGTAGTAGGGGTCTACGGGTCTTAGGGATAAAGTGCCCTTTTAATGTCCATCCCAAAAGATGCTTGCAAATAGCAATCAACTAATTTTTTTTGCAGATTTGGTTAGAGCCCAAAATCTCACCTGGCATGTTACAGCCAACGTATGACAGATTTGAGTCTTCCCAGTTCGGAATTCTCCAAACATCTCTGTGATGGATCCGGTTTCAATTCCTCCTAAAAGAGCAATAGGAAACACCTCTTAGCACAATACAAATGTTTAGAAAGAGTAATTGTAGAAGTGTCCTTGGAACTCATCAGAAAGATGTATAAATAATTTGTAAATTCAATTTTCAACAAGCAATATTTTTACTTTGAAATAATTCTAGATTTACAGAAAATCACAAAGAAAGGTACAGGAAGGTTCCATGAATTTTTTTTTTTAAAGATTTTAATTATTTGACAGAGAGAGACACAGTAAGAGAGGGAACACAAGCAGGGGGGAGTGGGAGAGGGAGAAGGAGGCTTCCCGCTAAGTGGGCGCCCCATGTGGCACTTGATCCCAGGACTCTGGGATCAAGTCCCAAGTCAGGTTCCTTGCTCAGTGGGGAGCCTTCTCCCTTTGCCTGCCACTCCCCATGCTTATGCTTGCTCTCCTCCCTCTCTCTCTGGCACATAATTAAATTAAATCTTAAAAAAAAAATTTTTATTTATTTGACAGAGAGAAAGAGAGAACAAGCACAAGCAAGGGAAACAGCTCGTCGTGGGCGAGTGGGAAGCAGAATCCCCACGGAGTAGGGAGCCTGATACAAGACTCAATCCCAGCACCCCAGGATGATGACCTGAGCCAAAGGCAGACGATTAATGAATGAGCCACGCAGGTGCCCTGGTCCCAAGAATTCATCACTCAGGCTCCCCCAGTGTTAACATTTTACATAACCATAGTACAGTATCAGTATTAGAAAACTGTCAGTGATACAGCCCCCAGAGTTCGTTCAGATTTCTCTAGTTATAAATGCATTCATTTTGGGGCGCCTGTGTGGCTCAGTGGGTTAAGCCTCTGCCTACGGCCCAGGTCATGATCTCAGGGTCCTGATATCGAGCCCCCCGTCGGGCGCTCTGCTTGGCAGGGAGCCTGCTTCCTCCTCTCTCTCTGCCTGCCTCTCTGCCTACTCATGATCTCTCTGTCAAATAAATAAATAAAATCTTAAAAAAAAAAAAATAGGGGTGCCTGAGTGGCTCAGTGGGTTAAACCTCTGCCTTCGGCTCAGGTCATGATCCCAGGGTTCTGGGATGGAGCCCCACATGGGGCTCTCTGCTCAGCGGGGAGCCAGGTTCCCCCTCTCTCTCTGCCTGTCTCTCTGCCTACTTGTGTTCTCTCTCTCTGTCAAATAAATAAAATCTTAAAAAATGCATTCATTTCATTTGTGTATATGTATACAGTTTTATGCAATTTTATTGCATCTGTAGCTTCATGTAACTACCACCACAATCAAGACATAGAACTATACCACGACAAGTCAATAAGCAGTAAATGTAAAAATTATAGAGATATCCTCTAAAATTTACTAAACATTTCTTGTGTACCTGGCATTGTGCTATGCATATGTATGTACCATTTCATTTAATTCCAGTAACCTATAAGGTAGGAACTCTTTTTAATCCTCACCATAAAGATAATAAAACTGAGGTATAGAGATATTAAGTAATTTGCACATATTTCTGAATATATAGTAATTTGCATACTATTCCTGAATGCATACTATTTTGCACCCTAAAAGAAAACTTGAATGATTAAATATTTGGGGAAGCAACAACAAAAAAATCTAACCTCACAGTATTTAGGACAGCAATGTTTTCAAAAGTTCAAAAGCTTTACATGTTTCCATAAAAGTCCAATAGTTTAGTGTGCACTACCATGCACTGATACTCTAACACAGTATTCAAACATGGAATGTTTTAGTTACCAGATTTTCAACCCTGTGTTAAAATAAGCAGAGGAAGCTTACTCTCTGAGTGCAGTATTAAATGGAAATTCAATTATTTCATTGGCAGATAATTTTAGTATAAGTCAGGTCCCACCCTCTAGCAGTCTTACTTCAATGTGAATAGTTCTCTTATCTCTCTTTTTTTCTTAAATTTGACAGGCAGAGATCACAAGTAGGCAGAGAGGCAGGCAGAGAGAAGGGGGGAAGCAGGCTCCCTACTGAGCAGAGAACGTGATTCGGGGCTTGATCCCAGGACCCTGGGATCACAACCTGAGCTGAAAGCACAGGCTTTAACCCACTGAGCCACCCAGGCGCCCCTCTCTTATCTCTTAATCATATCTAACACACAAATTCTACCCAAATACTTTAGCTTTGTTTTCTGACCTGGAAGCTTTACTAACTGCAGTTCACAGCAAAGGATAAGGGATCACTATACCTTGAAGTAGTTTGTCAAGTTCTTTTGAGCCAGTAGTAATCTGTATGATCTCTGACCGCCTTTGGTGGAACTCAGTTGCAGTAGTGAAACCCATTGGAACTAATTTAGCTGCCTCAGTCTGGGAAAAATAAGAAATGTCAAATCAACAAAATATGATTATTAGTAAAACAAGAATCAGACACACTGCGGGAAGAGATAAATTCTAACAAAATTTCCAGAGTGCTTTCTCTTTAAAAAGTCATCAAAAGGGATGCCTGGGTAGTTTAGTCAGTTAAGGGTCTGCCTTCAACTCAGGTCATGATCCCAGGGTCCTGGAATCAAGTTCCACACCGGGCTCCTTGCTCAGCAGGGAACCTGCTTCTCTCTCTGCCTGCCACTCCCCCTGCTTGTGCTCTCTGACAAATAAAATTTTTTAAAAATAATGATAAATAAAAAGTCATCAAAATACCAATAGTTCTAGGATTATTTTATCTCTCTGGCAACTAAAGGATAAAATAAGCTAATTCAGAGACTCCATGAAGATTAATTTTTTAATTGTTAATTCAACTAATACATCCACATAGTAAAAAAAACCCAAAAAACTATTATAGACCCACAAATGTGTACTTCGCCGACTTATGACAAATGTGACATACAGCATGAAGTCTAACAAAATATTTAAATTCTCATTTCCTGTTCCATCAACCACTGACTCTATCTCTTAACTTTTCTACTTTTTTTTATTTTTGGAGGGGGAACGGCGACAGGGGCAAAAGGAGAGAAACTATTTTTTTTAAACATTTTATTTATTTGAGAGAGAGAGAGAGAGAGAAAGAGAGAGAGATTGAGAGAGCATGAGCTGGGAAGGGCAGAGAGAGAGGGAGAAGCAGACTCCCTGCAGAGCAGAGAGCCAGCCATGGGACTTGATCCCACGACCCTGAGATCATGACCTGAGCTGAAGGCAGAGGCTTAACCCACTGAGCCACCCAGGTGCCCCTTCTTTCTCCTTTGTTAAATGAAGACATCTATCCTTCAATCTCTTGTCCCTCTGTGTCTACCGTCCCTGTCTCTGTCAGCTCTACCTTTTCTTTTACACTGTCAAGGTCAAAAACACTTATATATCATTTTGTAGTCACCGATAAGTCTTCAGTAATGAGTCTGTCAATTAATTCCAAAATTTAAAATAAATGCATTTAGGGGTGCCTGGGTGGCACAGTTGGTTAAGCATCCAACCCTTGTTTTCAGCTCAGGTCATGATCTCAGGGTACTAGGATCAAGCCCTGCCTCAGACTCCATGCTTAGCATGGAGTCTGCCTGAGATTCTCTCTCCCTCTTCCTCTGTCCCTCATGCTCATGCTCATACGCTCTCTCTTAAATAAATAAATAAAAGATACTAGAAAAAAGCACACTATACAAACTAAGCAGAAAGAAGGAAATAAGATTAGACTATAAACTAGTAAAATAAGAGACTAGAAATACAATAGAGAAAAATCAATGAAACCAAGAGTTGGTTCTTTGGAAAGATCAGCAAAATTGATAAATCTTTAGCCAGACCAAGGTGGGGGGGAAGACTCAGGGGCGCCAGAGTGGCTCAGTCGGTTAAGTGTCTGCCTTCAGCTTCAGCTCAGGTCATGATCTGAAGGTTCTGGGATCGAACCCCACATCAGGATCCCTGATTGGAAGGGAACCTGCTTCTCCCTCTCCCTGCCGTTCTGCCTGCTTGTACTCCCTCCCTCTCTCTGTCAAATAAATAAATAAAATCTTAAAAAAAAAAAAAAGACTCAAATCACAAATCAGGAAAGAAAGGAATTATTAACCTTACAAAAACAGAACTCTATGCCAACAAATTAGATAACTGCAATGAAATAGGCAAATTCCTAGAAAGACACAAACTATTAAAACTCAATAATCCAAAACTCACAAAAATAATCCAAGTCAAGGCACAAATGATCACTTGAACCTGAATATGTAAGATTTTATTTATTTGTTGGAGAGAGAGAGAGAGAGAGAGAGAGCGAGCAAGCACAAGCAGGGGGAGCAGCAGGCAGAAGGAGAAGCAGGCTGCCCGCTGAGCAAGGAACTCGATGTAGGACTTGATCCCAGGAGGCAGATGCTTAACTGACAGCCACCATGGCATCCCTGGCTGAACCTGAATCTAAATTCAGCAAAATAAACTGAGTCTGACTAAAAAAAAAAAAAAAAAGAAAAAGAAAAAGAAAAATGTGAATACATCCATAGCAAGTAGAGATTAAACTTGTCATTTAAAAACTTTCCACAAAGAAAAACAGAAATCAGGGGCACCTGGGTGGCTCAGTGGGTTAAGCCTCTGCCTTCGGCTCAGGTCATGATCTCAGGGTCCTGGGATGGAGCCCTGTATCCATCCAGCTCTCTGCTCAGCAGGGAGCCTGCTTCCCCCACCCCTGCATGCCTCTATGCCTACTTGTGATCTCTCTCTGTCAAATATATAAATAAAATCTTAAAAGAAAAATAGGGGCACCTTCGTGGCTCAGTGGGTTAGAGCCTCTCCCTTCAGCTCAGGTCGTGATCCCAGGATCCTGGGATCGAGCCTGGCATCGGGCTCTCTGCTCAGTGGGGAGCCTGTTTCCTCCTCTCTCTCTCTCTGCCTGCCTCTCTGCCTCCTTGTGATCTCTGTCAAATAAATAAATAAAATTTGTAAAATAAATAAATAAACAAGAAAAAAGGAAACCAATGAATAGCTGAGTAGTAGCTTTAAATTATTCCCTAAACTTCTCTAAACTATCTCACTTGAAAACTCATTAAAATGTTTATATTCCAGCTTTGTAAATTTAATTCACTGCAGCATCAGTATGTGAGAAGTGCAATTCTTTCACTAAAGTTCCAATGTTAACAACTCAATGTCCCTCCTAGGCTTCTGCTGTCAAATTCAAATGGTATCTTTTTCATACACCACCTTGCTTTTATACCTGAGTCATGTCTGTCTCCAGTGTTTTCTTTTTCTCTTTTTAAGATTTTATTTATTTATTTGACTGAGAGAGAGAGACAGCAAGAGAGGGAACACAAGCAGGGGGAGTAGGAGAGGAAGCAGGCTTCCCGCTGAGCAGGAAGCCCAATGCAGGGCTCTATTCGGGGCTCCATCCCAGGACTCTGGGATCATGACCTGAGCTGAAGGCAGATACTTAATGACTGAGCCACCCAGGGGCCCCTTCCAGTGTTTTCTGACTTTATCATTTCTCAAATTTACCAACCTCTCAATCTTACCATGTATATTCTACTGAAACCCTTCTACCTCAGGTTCCTTCTCTTCTCTTCTCTCCTCCAAACTGAGCTGTGTGCTCTCGAGTCAACTACTGTCCCCAACTCTCCTTCACTGAGTACTTGAGTTGGAGTCTAATCTAGATCTTTTGTTTTCCACACTCATTTTGTTAAAGTATATCCTCAAGTAACTTCCTAAGAAAGTGCGTAAGAGAAAAATGTTCTGAATTATTTTATTTCTGAAAATGTTTTATTCTGCCCCAGTATTTGGTTAATAAAATTGCCACAAAGAGAATTCTAGGTTTAAAATTATTTTCCTTTAAGGGTGCGTAGGTAGCTCTGTCGGTTAAGCATCTGACTTTAGCTTGGGTCATGACCTCGGAGTCCTGGGATTGGGGCCCCTGTTGGGCTCCACACTTGGGGGAAGTCTTCTTGTCCCTCTGCACCTCCACCCGCTCATATACTCTCTCTTAAATAAATAAAATCTTAAAAAAATAATAAAATTATTTTCCCTCATAACTTTGAAGGTGTTGTTCTACTAGCTTCTACCAGTCAGATTTCTGTTAAGAAATGTAGTCTTTCCAGGCACCTGGCTGGTTTAGTTGGTGAGCAAAGAACTCTTGATCTTAGGGTTGTGAGTTCAAGCCCAACAGTGGGTGCAGAGATTACTTAAAAAAAAAAGAGTAGTCTTTCTGATTTTTTATTCCTTTAGAATTGCTTTTTTCCCCCCTGAATTCTTTAAGAATCTTCTCTTTATGACTGGTATACTGAAATTTCACACTCATGTGTCTAAGTGTGGGTCTCTGATACTCCATAAATTCTTACTATGTGAGATTTCCCTTTAGCTCTGCCAAATTTTCTGTTATTATGTCTTAGAGAATTTCTTCCCTTTTTTTTCCTATGATCTCTCTTCCTGTAACTTCTACTAATCTTCAGGAAAAATGAAGATTAATGAAAACCAGAAGATAAAATAGACTATAAACCAATACCGAACCTTAATTAATGTGTGCTAAAATATTTAGGGGGAAATATACTGACATCTACAACTTTCTTTGTAAAGTATTAAAAAAATCCAAGATGGACTGATTGCTGGATAGAGACATCAACAGACAGGTGGTAAGTCAAATACATTAAAATTTAATGGTAGAGTCTAGGTAATGGGTATATAAGTTTTCACTATAAAATTCAACATGACAGTAAGTTAAAAAATTTTAGTAACAAAAGGCTAAGAAAAAAACATAGCAGTTGCTTTCCCTGTTTGTCATTTTAACTCCTAAATTCTAGACTATGAGCCCTTACAGGTACAAAATATTATAACTAAAGTGAAATATGAAGTAAAAACCATGCAACTGCCTAATCTGGGAGAACTTTACTTCTATTCGCACACTTACATAATGAGTTACTTTCATTTCTGTTAGCTGAAGTCTTAAATGTATAGTTTTCAATAGCTAAGAACTACCAAACCTTGGACACAAGACACAGAATGGTGAATAGAAGGAAAATATCAATGGGGCACCTGGGTGGCTCAGTAGGTTAAGCGACCAGCTCTCGATTTTGGCTCAGGTCATGATCTCAGGGTCGTGAGATTGAGCCTGTTTGGGGCTCTGCATTCAGCAGGGAGTCTGCTTAGGATTCTTTCTCCCTATGCCCCTCTCCCCACTACACACACGTATGCATGCATGCCCTCTAATAAATCTTAAAAAATGGAAAATATTACAAAAAAGAACTGTGCTGAATCTGTCAGTGCTTACAGTACACAAAGAGAACACAGTTCAACAAAAGCCAATTACAATTAAACTTTGAAAATGTGGAGAAGATCACATAAATATGTCACCTTCTGAACAAATTTGGCCATAAAATCTTTTTCTACCACCTTGATGTACCTACTACAAATGATTTTCTTTATTTTCCTTTCTCCACTGTAACAGTGGATATTCTTGTTGAAAATCTCAATTTCAGCAGCATCTGGGTGGTGCGGTTGGTTGAGTGTGCAACTCTTGGTTTGGGCTCAGGTTATGATCTCAGTGTCGTGAGATCAAACGCCACGTGGGGTTCGATGCTCAGCATGGAGTCTGTTCCAGATTCTCTCTCCCTCTCCCTTTGCCCTTCCCATTCATGCTGTCTCTCTAAAATAAATCTTTTCTTAAAATTTTTTTAAAAAGATTTTATTTATTTGACAGAGAGAGAAATCACAAGTATGCAGAGAGGCAGGCAGAGAGAGAGGGGGAAGCAGGCTCTCCACTGAGCAGACAGCCCTATGCGGGGCTCAATCCCAGGACCCTGAGATCATGACCTGAGCTGAAGGCAGAGGCTTAACCCACTGAGCCACCCAGGCGCCCCTAAAATAAATAAATCTTAAAAAAAGAAAAAAAAAATCTCAATTTCAAAGACTTTGGGGGAATTGAAGGAATAGCCACAGTGACTGAAGAAATCTTCTTTAATCTTTAAAAGCAAATAACATCATCCAACTTTATCCACTAGAAATTCACAGTACAAAATGTCTGAAATTAAAGAGGACAGAAAAATAGACCTAGCTCTGTATCACTTTGCATATCTCATTTTGCTTTATTAAAGGTTTTTATTTGTGTTTTCATGAAAGCAGGACACTGATTTGATTTCTAAAACTAAGGTCTGACAAGGCATAAGCAAAGATCCTGTCAGGATTTGTTCTGACACAAATATTAATGCCCAGAAAGAAAACCAATAGATTTTAGGGATACCTACTGGCTTAGTATCACACATACTCTTTTGATGAGGTATTAGGGGCTCAGAACTGTCATTTCCAATTAAGTCATCACTTCAACAACATATGTGAATAATACAATAAATGAAAACTTCAGAGGCGCCTGGGTGGCACAGTTGGTTAGGCACCCAAATCTTGGTTTAAGCTCAGGCTGTGATCTCAAGGTTGTGAGACTGAGCTCTGCATCAGGGTCAGTGTTCAGAATAATAAATAAATCTTAAAAAAATTAAAAAAAAAAAAAAAAAAAAGAATTATGACTTCTCAGCCCTGAGTTACTATTACAAAGTGGTCTAAATAAATGAAGTAAAATCCCTACCAGTGCTTAAGAATTCAAAGTCACAGTATAATACCCAATAAAATAGAATTAATCAGGTTGTGCATATATTAATGTATGAGATAGCAAGTACCCACAAATCTCAGCTATTGTCCATTTGACTAAGTTATATGGCAGTACATATACTGAAGCTAACCACTAACAAAGGATGCAGTCTTTTTTTTTTTTTTTTAAAGATTTTATTTATTTATTTGACAGAGAGAGATCACAAGTAGGCAGAGAGGCAGGCAGAGAGAGAGGAAGGGAAGCAGACTCCCCGCTGAGCAGAGAGCCCAATGCGGGACTCGATTCCAGGACCCTGAGACCATGACCTGAGCTGAAGGCAGCAGCTCAACCCACTGAGCCACCCAGGCGCCCCAGGATGCAGTCTTTTTTGAAGATTCTTTAGCCTTCTAAGACTTTTTCAGAGAAAATTTTCTGAAAAATTGGAAATTATAATAGTAATCAACATAAAATATGAAAATCAGTTTTATAGATATTTACTTATTTTATCCCAGGGTCCTGGGATCAAGCCCCGCATCAGGCTCTCTGCTCAGCAGGGAGCCTGCTTCCCCCTCTCTCTCTGCCTGCTTCTCTGCCTACTTGTGATCTGTCAAATAAATAAATAAATAATCTTAAAAAAAAAAAAAAAAGTTCAAGGGTAAAGCTAATCCAACTGTATAACTATAGGGGCACCCAGGTGGCTCAGTCTGTTAAGCTCAGGTCATGATCCCGGCATCCTAGGATTGAGTCTCGAGTTGGGCTCCCTGCTCAACAGAAAGTCTGCTTCTCCCCTGATCCCCGACTCATGCTCCAATAAATAAATAAAATCTTGGGGGGGGGGGAAGCCCAGCTAAATAATAACTAAATACCAAAGGGTAAGTGCATAAAATAAAATATAACCATAAGAATTATGAATGTGAAAGAAAAATTAATAGTAGCTATAGGTCACTGGAAGGAAATGAGAAAAGATCATAATATGATAGGATGAAAATAACTGGATTCTAGTTTTAGTTCTGCCACTGCCTGCATGACCTTGGGTAAATAACTGAACCACAGTATCTTACGTTTCCTCATCCATAAAACAGAGATAATACTGGCCCCACCTATTTTTCTCAGTGTTGTTATGAAGGTCAGATGAGAATATATATAAAAGAGATGGAATTTCAAAGTTAAAATGCTATATAAGGGATTATTAGACTTCTACTTCATTTCTATTAAGCCAGTAAAATCACTTTTATGTCATTAAGGTTAAAAAAAAAAAAACTAAGCACATGATTTGAAATCACATTCTCTTGTCATTATTAAAGAATCTTGCCTATGATTAGTTAGCTAATAAGAAATAAAAACAGCTTTTCTATTTGAAAATAAAACTTGATTATACAAAATGAAGAAACTTCAGAAAACTGAGGCAAAAGTAAAAATCGCTCACATTCTTACCATTCAGAAATAAAACCACAAATATTTTAGTGTATTTATCCTGTGTATGTGCTATACACACATTTTTAAAAACAAAAAAAATCAACCATGTATATGTATGTGTGTGTGTGTATTTGTGTCTTATTACCCTATCTTATATCAGGAACATTCCTGATATTAGGAATCCTTATGTTTCTTGCTCTTTTTTTTTTTTTTTTTTTTTAAGATTTTATTTATTTATCTGACAGAGAGAGATCACAAGCAGGCAGAGAGGCAGACAGAGAGAGAGAGGAGGAAGCAGGCTCCCCGCTGAGCAGAGAGCCCAATGCGGGGCTCGATCCCAGGATCCTGAGATCATGACCCGAGCCGAAGGCAGCGGCTTAACCCACTGAGCCACCCAGGCGCCCCAGGAATCCTTATGTTTCTTATATCAGAAACATTCTCCTATATCAATGAATATTCTTTGAAATTCTTTTTAGTGGCTACATACTAATGAATATATTTCTAAGGCATGAGATCATAATTTCTAGAAAGATAAGGTACATCACCACGTACTGCTGGTGGAAATGCAAACTTATCAATTTGGCAGTACTCATACCCCATGAAACTAATTTCCTTGAGAGAAAATCCCAATTTATGCAAGGAGGCACATATAAACATAATTAACTAGTGCAGTCACCTCTGGAAAGGGGAACACAATGACACACTGGGAGATGAAGAAGGAACACTGCCACCTTCACTGTACATGCTATTCCCACTAATGCCTCCCCCTACATCACATAAGCAGTACTTACCAGAATTTTGTCAGCTTTGGCTTCACTAATCCCCTTAATATTTATCAATTCCTTCTTTGGTGCATAGGCAACAGCCTCCACAGTATGGAATCCAGCCTCTTCCAATTTCTTCACATCATTGGCATTTATGCCACATTGCTGCAAGTGAAGAAAACCATGGATAAGTAAGTGTAAGCTTCAGTTCTCTCAGCTAATATAGATATTTGCCCTATCCAATCCAGAGCTGTTTTGAAGAACTGTAATATTATATGCAAAAGCTTTGAAAAGTATTCTATATACATGAGGTATTTAAAAACAAATTACCAACCCTTTCATTTTGAAAACCAATACTTCTAAACTAGTAGTCCCATGTACGTATTCTCATCATGAGTTGGGACTAAACCACTAATTCACAGGCACTGGGAATAAACTAGTAACTCTCAAACTTTTACGACTCCTCAAATGAACTTTGAGGAGCGCGTGGCTCCTTTGGCTAAAGTCATGATTCTAGAGTCCTGGGATTGAGCCCCACCTCAGGCTCCCTGCTCAGCGGGGAGTCTGCTTCTCTATCTCCCTCTGGCACTCTTCCTACTTGTGCTCTCTCTTCCTCTGTCAAAAACGTGAGACACTGGGCCCTAAAAAGCCACCTTAAACCACTGTTTCTAATGTTTTCTACATCAAGCACAAATAAAAAAAATGTTTTTTGTTTGTTTTACTCTAAGCTGGAGTAAACAGAGAAGCCTGCCCCAGAGCTGAGGGTAGCAAAATGACTGGATCACTCTAACAAGTGACATTAAAAATGGGGGAAAACTGGGGCGCCTGGGTGGGTCAGTGGGTTAAGCCTCTGCCTTTGGCTCAGGTCATGATCCCAGGGTGCTGGGATCGAGCCCCGCATCGGGCTCTCTGCTCAGCGGGGAGCCTGCTTCCCTTCCTCTCTCTCTGCTTGCCTCTTTGCCTACTTGTGATCTCTGTCAAATAAGTAAATAAAATCTTAAAATATAATAATAATAAATTAAAAAAAATAAAAGAAAATGGGGAAAAACTAGTTTTGGTTATGGACTCATATACCATTTCAGAAAATAAACCACCCAAATGTACTTCTTCCTACCTATATTACAAATTCAGCTTTGATTTTATTAGCCATCAAAACTAGGACTGCTGGGACAATATTAGTGGTGGAATGTGTATGTATTTGCGGGTTGGGAAGGGTTTTCGAGAGGGGAGGGTCTGCCCACAGAAATAAGCTCTCCTATCAATATTTAAGCAATAAGCAAAATGTATGTGTGGGTATAAGAATGCTCATAATACCAGAAGTTATGATGCTGAACTCAGTAATATTTATCACAAACCCGTTTATATTAACTTCTGCTGGAGTCTTGAAGTTTAGCTGAGGTGGTAGGAATATGTGTAAAGGGAAGAATAAAGGCTTTCTCTGCTTTCCCTCCTAGTTCTCTCAGCCTATGTCTGTGGCACTCACACTGTGGGGGCGTCTGTACAATGGGAAGAAATAGTGCAAAGGCTCAGGTCCGATGTTTGATGTTCCTGTGCAGAGTCCTGAATTGGAGCTTGACCCTTACACCTTAATAGCTACAAGCCCTTCTCCCTGACTACAACAGCTGTCTTGCTAGTAACTTCAGCACAGATATGGGTCAATGGAGAGACAATGCTCTTCTCTCTTCCTGCATAGCTGTCCTAGGCCACTCTAATTCTCTGGATTGTAATTTCATAAGTAGTATCAAGACTCCACCAAGACTCCACCATGAGATCCTAGGGCTTTTAGTTTTTGACAATCCAACTCTAAGAAAGAAAAATGATAAAGTAGGAGGAGAATTCTTAACGAAAGAGATATGGCCAGACATGTTTAGCCTTTCCACAGGATCCTTGATAACACTTTTGAAAACTCTAATTTAGGTCTTGACCGTAGGTAATAAATCAATGGTTTATGAAAAGGTTGTAAATTCTCCCAACAGGTAGGAGACTGTAATCTAGCATTATAATTCTAAAATTAACAACTAAGCACATACCTCTAACCGTGAAATAGGTTGTGGGCCAAAGCTTTCTTCTTCCACTGAAGTATCTGCATTTGCTTCAAGCTGCATTTGCATAGCCATTACTCAGCATTCAATACTGAAAAATACAGATGGCCAGAAAAAGTACAGAGCTGCAAAGTTCTTTTTGAAATAAATCTCTGAAGAATTACTTGTTAGTCTTTTGGTCTAATCACTGATCTACCCATGGCAGGAAAAAAGAACATATCTTACCAGCTTCCCCTTCCACTAGATAGTTTTTTTTTTTTTTTTTGAAGACTTTACTTATTTATTTATTTGTTAGAGAGAGAGAGAGAGAGAGAGAGAACACAAGCAGGCAGAGTGGCAGGCAGAGGCAGAGTGAGAAGCAGGCTCCATGCTGAGAAAGAAGCCCGCTGTGGGACTCGATCCCAGGACTCTCGGATCAGGACCTGAGCCAAAGGTAGCGGCTTAAACAACTGAGTCACCCAGGGGTCCCTCCACCTAACTAGTTCTATCAGATATAGCTTAGGAAGAGCCAGGACTAGTGTGCTTCTTAAAGATGTACAGCTTAACTAGACCAACTATGTCCCCAGTTCCCCTGCTTCACATTCCTTGAGGGTAGGGGCCAAGTTATTTATTTGTGTACAATTTGTGTACACCCATGATACATTAAATGTTAGGTGTTTGGCAAGTATTTGGTAAACCAAAGTGGACTTTCAAGACTCTACTTAAAATTTGAAAAACAAAAAACAAAAAAACCTGGTGAAAGTTTGTTAAACTATTTCAATTTTATTGTTCCCTTCAAGCAAGTAGGGTTTGGGGGTGGTGGGAGAGGAGTGAAATGAAAGTACAGAATGACTGCCCATAAGCCTCTACTCCTGATAAGGCAGTAGATTGAGATGAAAGTACTTTTCATCTCAGCCAAGGATCATAGCTTGTAGTCACATATTCTGCTTCCAATAGGAATGTGTGAAATTTAGGGCGCCTGAGTGGCTCAGTTGGTTAAGCGCCTGCCTTCAGCTCAGATCATGATTCCAGAGTCCTAGGATCAAGTCCCACTCAAGCTCCCTGCTCAATGGGGAGTCTACCTCTCTGCCCTTCCCCTGGCTCATGCAGGCATGTGTGCTCTCTCTCTCAAATAAATAAATAATCTTAAAAAAAAAAAAGGCGGGGGAATGTCTAGAATTTAAATATTACCATTTTAATCAATTTCAGACCTCATTGAATGCACAATGAGGGGTGCCTGGGTGGCTCAGTGGGTTAAGCCTCTGCCTTTGGCTCGGGTGATAATCTCAGGGTCCTGGGATCAAGCACTGCATTGGGCCCTGCTCAGCAGGAACTCTGTTTCCCTCCTCCTCTGCCTGCTTCTCTGCCTACTTGTGATTGCTGTCTGTCAAATAAATAAATAAAATCTTTTTTAAAAATGCACAAATGAATAACATTCAAGAACCCTGCTCAGTCTGAAATCCATAGAGCATTAGGCCCATACCTAGTCAGGTTATTATGATAGTTAATATTGCTCAGGTTGAAAGTAATGGAGAACAAAAAATTTTAATTATCTTCAAAGATGTTAGTAAAAGTGAGCAAAACTTTTTTTGGGGGTGGGGAGAGAGAGAATGCAGGGCAGGGGTGAGAGGGTAGTGGTAGAGGAAGAGGGAGAATCTTAAGCAGGCTCTGCGCCTAGTGAGGAGCCCAAGAGGGCTGGATCTCATGATCCTGAGACCATAACCTCAGCCAAACCCAAGAGTCAGACGCTTACCCAACTGGACTACCCTAGCACCCCAAAAGTGAACAAGTCTTAATGTTCACAAGAATAAATGAATTTAAATCACACCAAAACAATCTGAACAATTTAACAATCTGGATAAATTTAACTTAAAGATAACACATGAAATCTTCATTGTTCAAGACTTCACAAAAGAGGTCCATTTTTTCCCTTTTTAAAAAAGTATATTAATTTCAGGTGTACAGCATAGTGCTCTGATAACTCTGTATGTTACGCTATGCTCACCACAAGTGTAGCTACCATCTGTCACCATACAACACAAGACCACTGACTATATTCCCTAAGCTGTACCTTTTACTCCTTTGTTTTTTCTTTTTTTTTTTTTTTGTTTTTACTTTTTTTTTTACTTTGACTTTTACTACTTTGTTCTGTTGCTGGAAGTCTGTGCCTCTCACTCACTTTCACCCATTTTGCCCGTTCCTCTTCCTCCCCCCTGGGAGTTATCAGTTCTCTCTGTATTTATGGGTCTGTTCCTGCTTTCATTTATTTTTGTATTTTTACACTCCACATACAAATGAAATCATATGGTTTTTGTCTTTCTCTGTATGACTTATTTCACTTAGTACACTACCTCTAGGTCCCTGCATATTGTTGGAAATGGGAAGATCTCATTCTTTTTAAAGGCTGAGTAATATTCTACTGTATATATTATACATACATAATACATACCTACCATATCTCCTTTATCCATTCATGTATGGATGGACACTTGGGTTGCTTTTGTATCTTGGCTATTGTAAATAATGCTGCAGTAATCATTGGGGAGCTTTTATTTTTTTCAAGTTAATATTTTCATTTTCTTTGAGTAAATACCCTGTAGTGGAATTTTTGGATCACATGGTATTTCTATTTTTAATTTTTTTTTTTTTTTTTAAGATTTTATTTGTTTATTTGGCAGACAGAGATCACAAGTAGGCAGAGAGGCAGGCAGAGAGAGAGGAAGGGAAGCAGGCTCCCTGCTGAGCAGAGAGCCCGATGCGGGACTCGATCCCAGGACCCTGAGATCATGACCTGAGCCGAAGGCAGCGGCCTAACCCACTGAGCCACCCAGGCGCCCCTCTATTTTTAATTTTTTGAGGAACCTCCATACTGTTTTCCATAGCAGCCTCACTAAATGTAAATTAGTGCACCAACAGTTCATGAGGTTTCCTTTATATCCACATTCTCACCAGTCAGGATCCCTTATTTCTTACCTTTTTCATTTTAGCCATTGTGACAGAAGGGAGGTGATACCTCATTGTGGTTCTGGTTTGCAATTCCCTGACGATTAGTGATGTTGAGTACCTTTTCATGTGTCTGTTTGCCATCTGTGTCTTCTTAAGAAATGATCATTTGTTGTTGATTGGTTCAGATGCACATCTCTTAGATAGTTGATTTAACATAATGTGTGTCTATGATAGTGCTAAATATCAGGATCACCTGAATGGAACTTAAATTTTTTTTTTTTTTTTTTTTTTTTTAAATTTTATTTGTTTGACAGAGAGAGAGAGATCACAAGTAGGCAGAGAGGCAGGCAGAGAGAGAGAGAGGGAAGCAGGCTCCCCGCCGAGCAGAGAGCCCCATGCGGGGCTCGATCCCAGGACCCTGAGATCATGACCTGAGCCGAAGGCAGAGGCTTTAACCCACTGAGCCACCCAGGCGCCCCTGAATGGAACTTAAATTTAAACATTTCCCTTCATAAGAGAAACTGGAGGGCTCAGGTCATGATCCCAGGGTATTGGGTTCAAGCCCCGAATCAGGCTCCCTGCTCAGTAGAGAGCCTCCTTCTTCCTCTCCCTCTGTCTGCCGCTCTGCCTAGTTGTGCTCCCTACCCCTCTGTCAAATAAATAAATAAAATATTTAATTAAAAAAATACAAAAAAACCCACATCTCCCTTCATAATCTATGAAGAAGACAGAACTGCAGAGTAATGGAGAAAGGATTGTCTTTTGAATAAACAGTGCTGGGTTGATGGGAGAGCCTTACAGATTAAGAAACCACCCCCTCACTCCACATACAGAAGAACCATCCATTTCCAATTCAATTACAGACCTAAATGTAAGACTTAAAACAAAGCTTTTGGAATATAAGTGAATATCCTCATGACTTTGTATAAAGATTTTTTGAACTGGATACATATAGCAATAATGAAAAAGAAAAGACTGAAAAATTGGACTACATTTAAACTTAGAACTTCTATCAAAAGACACTACTAAGAAAACAAAAAGTCAAACTACAGTATATTTACCATATATACAAACAAGGCTGATAATTAAAATATATAAAAAACTTCAGGGGCACCTGGATGGCTCAGTCAGTTAAGTGTCTGCCTTCAGCTCAGGGCTGGACCCCAAGATCCTGGGATGGGGCCCCACGTCGGGCTCCTTGCTCAGCAGAGAGCCTGCTTCTCCCTTTCCCTCTGCCTGCCACTCTGTCTACTTGTGCTCTCTGTCAAATAAGTAAATAAAATCTTAAAAAAATATTTGTATATTTATAACTTCAAATCAGCAAGAAAGAACAACTCAATAGAAAAACAGAGATCTGGGGCGCCTGGGTGGCTTAGTGGGTTAAGCCTCTGCTTTCTGCTCAGGACATGATCTCAGGGTCCTGGGTTCGAGCCCCGCATCAGGCTCTCCGCTCAGCAGGGAGCCTGCTTCCCCCTCTCTCTGCCTGCCTCTCTGACTACTTGTGATCTCTCTCTCTCTCTCTGTCAAATAAATAAATAAATAAAATCTTAAAACAAAACAAACAAACAAAAAAACCCAGAGATCTGAGCAAGCACTTGAGGATAGAAGATATCTAGTAAACATATGAACCAACAGGGGTGCCTGGGTGGCTCAGTGGATTAAGCCTCTGCCCTTGGCTCAGGTCATGATCCCAGGGTCTTGGGATCAAGCCCCGCATCCGGCTCTCTGCTCATCAGGGAGCCCGCTTCCCCCTCTCTCTGCTTGCCTCTCTGCCTACTTGTGGTCTCAGTCTGTCAAATAAATAAAATCTTAAAAAAAAAAAAAAAGCCAAACAAAGATGAACAATAAACATATGAACCAACAAAGCTCAACCTGATTATCAGGAAAATTAAAACCATGAGGTATTTCTATATGCCACCAAAATAGATAAAATTAAAAAGATCAACAACATCAAGTGTTGGCAAGTATGTGAAACAACTAAACATTCATACACTGCTGGTCTGAATGTAAATTTATACTTTAGAAAACTGGCATTAAATGTAAACTGGGTGGCTCAGTTGGGTAAGCATCTGCCTTCTGCTTGCGTTGTGATCCCAGGGCCCTGGGATACAGTGTCCTTGCTCAGCTGAGAGCCTGATTCTCACTCCCCCTCTGCAGCACCCCCTGCTTATGCTCTCTGACAAATAAATCAAATGTTTAACAAAAGTAAATAAACAAACGTGGAAGTTGAATATAAACAAATGCTACCACCCAGGAATTTCAACACTGTATTACTAACCAACTGAAAAGCAGACACATGTGCACCAAAATATACATAGGAATGTTCTCAGCAGCCTTTCTCCTTTTAAAAGTCAGAAACTAGAAACCACCCAAATGTCCACCATAGGCAGAAAGAATAAGGTCCAATATGGCAACAAAAAGAACTTACTATATATATATATAAAGAACTTACTATATATTACTATATACAAAGATATGTATGAATCTACAAACAGAATGTTGAGCAAGACCAGACACAAAAATATAATTAGTATCACTTATACAAAATTCAAACACAGGCAAATTTAGTCAATGATGTTAGAAGTCAATAGAGCGGTTACCTCTGCAGAGAAAAAGGTTCATACTAGAGTGGGAACAAGGGAAGTTTCTGGGATGCCGACAACATTCTATTTATTGACCTGAGTAGTCATTACATACGTATATTCTCTTTGAAATAATTCAGAGCTGTATACACTTCTGATCTGTGCATCTTCTATACGCATATTACACTACACTTCAGAAGTTAAAAAAAACAACAACGAAACCTGACTGGAGAGGAGTCCCTAGGTATCACGTGAACAGCCTTCCGCATTAGGTAATGAAAACACCTTTGAGGAAACTAGAGGTGGGTACTTGGTAAGCAAAGCACGGAGTAATGGAAAGAGGACTGACCAAAAATCCGGAAACCCTGGCTCTGACATAAACAGCTGTGACATTAAATCGGTACACCTCTCTGGATCTCGGCTTTCTCGCCCCCGCCCATAAAGTGGGTGTTGGAAATGAAGGGTTCTAGGTTCCTCCCAGCTCTGGAGCCTGGAGACCGCTTCAGTTTTCGCCACAGCCAGCTCTGACGGTGGGCTGGGCCCAGGCATGCCCCTGCTCCGCCGCGCCAACTCCGCTTTCTCATGCGGCGCAGAGGGGCGCAGAAGCCGGCGGCCAGACCACGGGCCGGGTCGGGTTAATGCGGGGACGTACCCGACGCAGAAAGGGACCAGGTCTACACCTCACACTCACCTCGGTCCACAGCGCTTCTCACTCGGGCGGGCTGCACGCTCCGACTTCTGTCCGCTGGTCTGGTCCGCGACCGACCCCGGAAGGATTCCAGACGCCCCTCCTTGCTGCTAACTTCTCTACTCCCTTGTTCCGGCCTCCTGCACACAACCCACGCGAGTTTTAGGTCACAACTACGCCCCCCAGGGAGCCTTAGCTCTCCTCAGACGAAGAGTGTCTGGCCGCACAACTCTCCGGCAGCTTTCGGAGATCCCGCCAAATGCTCCGGAAGGGTCACGCAGCGTCAACGTAACGTCTCCCCGCCCTCCTCGGCGCCACAGCCTAGCCCGCCCTACCGCTGCTTGCGAGCGGGAGGTGGGCCCAAGGATCTTGATCTTGCATGATGTCAAGGAGTTCCCTTTTCCGTTTACCCCTAAGAACTAATTCACAATTTGGAAGTCGCCAAAGTCTTCTCTTTCACCGGACCAAGGACTACAACTCCCAAGAGGTAGTGGGGTCGGCCGGACACTCCCAACTCCCAGTATGCACCGCGGGCGCCTGGCGTTTTTAGCGCCTCAGCCCCTCTGCGGAAAAGCCTGGCTTTACATAGGTGTTCTCGATTTGCTTCCAAAGTATCTAAGCCCGTGTTTGCTCTGAGCTTCTGACATCGTCAAATTCCTGCAGCCTGACGTTTTTCAGGTCCCTGGATGTGGTAGAGCCGAGGATGCTCGAGTAGACAGATGAAACTGGAAAACAGAGCTAGTGAAGGGGAGAAAATGCCTGAAATACTAGTCATGTCTTGGTAATTTGCAAGAGATTTGCAAGACTCCAGAGGAAGAAGACATTGATTACCTTCTCATAGTTTTCCTGGAAAGTTTGACCTATGATTCTGGTTTTAAAGGGTGAATGGGGTTTCCTGGGCAAAGAAGAGGAGATGGAGGACATAACCATATAGAACAGTATGGGCATGGAAATTAACGACGTGGTCAAGCCATAGCATTGTCTGATGAGGGAGGAAAAGAGTGCTGGAGGCGCTGATACTGTAAAGTTAACATTTAGTTCAAGTTATGAAGAAAGTTATAACCATGTGTGGAGCTTTAATCTTTATTCTTTAGGTAATGGGGAAATCACTGAAAATTTTTAAGCAGAAGACTCCTATGATCTGTTTATCCCCCACCACTACTTTATCATTGTGGGATGCGTTAAAGTTCATAAAGTTTTTATTCAATCCTCCCACCGTTGTCTTGTGACAATGACAGATTTCAGAAAAGAGCAAAGATAGCAAAAACTGTCAGGAAGCTCTTGCAATATTTTGGACAAGGGATGAAGGCTTGCTTGAGTTAGATCAATGACAGAACAGATTCAGGAAGCATTCTGGAGGCAGACTCAACCTAACAGTAACTATATAAATAGTACCTGGGGATAATTGTAACTGCCATACCAAATATACCCACTTAAAAAAAAAAAAAGATTTGACAGAGAGAAATCAGAAGTAGGCAGACAGGCAGTCAGAGAAAGGGGGAACCAGGTTCCCTGCTGAGCAGAGAGCCTCATTGGGGGGGGGGCATCGATCTTAGGACCCTGAGATCATGACCTCAGTGGAAGGCAGAGGCTTAACCCACTGAGCCACCCAGGCGCCCCCAAATATACCCACTTTTACCTCCCGTTCACACCCTTTCCTTAGAGCATTTGCAAACCCACAGCCCCTCTTGGCTGAATGAAATCACATGTGACTTTGACCTTTCATTAAAATCAAATTCCTGTGACTGTGTGGTTGTCAAACCAGGAAGACTAAGGAATTGAGAGACCAAGAAAGTAGGAGAGAATGAGACAGAAAGTAACAATTTTGAAATCTGTTTTCCAAATCTTTCCAATTTCTTAGGAGCCCAGCAGCACTTACTATTCTCGAGATCTATTAAATACTCCTAAATGCCAATAAATCTCCCTTCCATTTCTTCTGCTTAAACCAGTTTGAGTAGTTTTCCGTTCTTTTCTTCCAAGACAACCCACTAAACATTTGGAAAAAAGACAAACTAGTGTTCTTGCTAACAGTTAAGTTAGCAATCCATATGAATATGTTTAAGTGTGTAGTGGAAAAGTTTTGAATATATCCTAGATTACGTCCGGTGACCTATTTGAAATCTCAAAGAGGTAACCTCTAGTAAAAAAAACTTAATCATGAGAAACCTAACCTTTTGTCTCAAGGATAATAATTTCCTGGCACAGTCAACCTAGAGCATAGTAAGGGAAATCCGGAAGGGAAACCCACTGTCATGTCCAAGTGATCCAATTGAGTAATGCAAGGATGATCCAGTATGGGGAAATCTATTATAATTGACCACTTTAATAGGTCAAGGAGAAACCCATATGGTTAATTTCATTTTGAAAAAGCAATAAAATTCGACATTAATTCCTCATTAATGGGGAAAATGGGAGAAAGGAATCGGATGCTTCCTTAGCATGATCAAGAAAAAAGCAGATACTCCAAACAAGCTGCTTTTGTTTGTTTACTTGTGAAATGTTAGAAATACTTTCATTAAAACCAAGAACTGGGGCTCCTGGTTGGCTCAGTATGAGGAGCACATGACTTAATTTCGGGGCTGTGGGCTGTGAGTTTGAGCTCCATGTTGTGTATAGAGATTACTTATGTAAAAAAGAAACAAAGAAAATTGTCTATTGCCACTATTATTTACTATTGTTTAGGAAATGTCACAGGGTGTAATAATTCAAGATAATAAAAAAAGATGTAAATGTTCAGAAAGATTTACAGATATGATTATATACCTGGATAGTTTAAGGGACAATAAGAAAGTACATTAGTGTAACCAATTATGAAATATAAAAAGATCAGCACTTTATTAAGTCTTAATAACTAATTAGACAATATAATAGAAAAAGATCCCATTCACAGTAGTAACAAAAACCGTAAGTGTCTAGGAACACACTTTTAGAAATGTTCAGGATCATCTTTAAAAAAAAAAAAAAGAAATGTTCAGGATCTTTATGGAAAAATCTCTAAAACCATCTTCCCAGAGAAGGCTCAAAATTATAAAGTTGAAAATTCATCAACATCAATGAATGCACAATAGAAATCGCAATGCAATTCACGGCAATCACCATTAATTGCCTACCCAATAGCCATTGCCCTTTATGGTTAAGAAAACCTAGTATGTGGAAGGATGTTCACTAGCGAGATTTTGGATGACTTTGCCTTCATCTGTATTCTTTTGTATATTATTTGCACTGTCGGTTTGAATTTATCTTGTTTTTATTATGACAATTGAAAAATTGTAACAAAATATAAAATGCCTTGGAATAAGTCTAATAAGTGCACATCCTATATAAAGAAAATTTTAAGATATTAACAAAGGACACAAAACAGAAAAAGTATACTGGTGGAAGACTCATATCTTAAAGATATCAATTGTCGATGAGCTGTTCATTAAATTTAATATAATGTGATTTCAGTACAAATTACATTAAGAGTTTTGGGGAAGAAAACAAGCTAGTTCTTACCTTTATATGATAAAATAAAAAAGCAAGAAGAGCTAGGAAAACCTAAGGGCCTGAAATGACCAGATGTTAAAACATATTATGAAACTGTAATAATTACAGGGCCATCTGGGTGGCTCAGTAGGTTAGGCATCTCACTCTTGATCTTGGCTCAGGTCATAATCTCAGGGCCATGAGATGGAGTCCTGTGTTGGACTCTGTGCTAAGTGTGGAGGCTGCTTAAGATTCTCTCTCTCCCTTTCCCCCTCCCCCTCCCCAACTCTCTCCTCAAAAAAAACAAAAAACAAAAAACCAACCAAAAAAAAACCCTATAAAAATTACAAAGGACTTTTACAATAAGATAGGTCAATAGAACAGAACAGTTTAATTAGTGTCTTAGTTTCCTGTTGCTGCTGTAACAAATTACCACAAATATATGGCTTAAAAAAATGTATCATCTTACAATTCTGGAGATCAGAATTCCTAATGGGTTTCACAGGGCTAAAAGCAAGGTGTTGACAGAATTGTGCCCCTTCTGGAGGTCCTAGGAGAAAATCTGTTCCTTGCCTTTTCCAGTCTCTAGAGGTAGCCAAATTCTTTGGCTCAAGGTCCCTTCCTCCCTCATCAAAGTCAACACTCTGATCTGTTTCCATTATTACATCTCCTTCTCCGACTCTGAACATCCTGCCTTCCTCTTATAAAAAACCTTGTGATTACATTGGGCTTACCCAGCTAATCCAAGATAGTCTCCCCATGCCAAGATCCTTCAAAACCTCTGCAGAGTTCCTACCGCCATGTAAAGTGACATTCCCAGGTTTTGGGATGTGGACATCTGGGTGGGGGGGGCGGGGGTGGTGTCTACTACTTTGCCTACCGCACTCAGATATGAATAGGTAGAGAAATCTAGTATATGATAAAAAAAGCATTCCAAATCAGTGGGAAAATAGCCCATTTATTAAATGGTGCTGGGATAGCCACATAGCCATCTAGAAAAATAAAATAATTTGGATCCTTAACCTTTGTTAGGATAAATTCCCAATCGATTCAAAGACATAAATGTAAAGTATTAAACCATAAAAGTTCTAAGAGAAATCATCGATTTTACATTAGGGAGAATCTAATTATAACATAAACTCAGAAGTCATAAAAGAAAATATTGATACATTTGACTACATATCTTTAAAATTCTAAATGGCAAAACCTATAATAAATAAAGTCAAATAAAACCATAAGTTAGGAGGAAATTTGGCAAACAACTATCACAGTTTCATTTTTTAAAATCTAAATTCAATTAACATGTAACATATTATTGGTTTTAGAGGTAGAGGTTAGTGATTCATCAGTCTAATACCCATTGCTCATTACATTGTGCCCTTTTTTTTTTTTAAGATTTTATTTATTTGACAGACAGAGATCACAAGTAGGCAGAGAAGCAGGCAGAGAGAGAGGGAAACAGGCTCCCTGCTGAGCAGAGAGCCCGATGCAGGTCTTGATCCCAGGACCCTGAGATCATGACCTGAGCTGAAGGCAGAGGCTTTAACCCACTGACCAACCCAGGCACCCCTCATGTGCCCTCTTTAATGTCCATCACCAGTTACCCTATCCCACCATCCCCCTCCTCCCTAGAAACCTTCCAGTTTGTTTCCTAGGATTAAGAGTCTCTTACAGTTTGTCTCTCTCTGATTTCTTCTTGTTTTAACTTTTTCTCTCTTCCCTTATGATCCTGTTTTGTTTCTTAAATTCTACAAATG